ACGAGCTGATCGTCATTCCGTGGACGGCAGTGGCGCCCCATTGGCCTCGAACCCTGTGCACTGAGTGTCAGCGCTTCGATCGCTACGAATCAAAGGGTTTCCACTACCGGATACGGAGTGAAGACGAGCACAAGGAAAGAGCCACGCGACTGAGACCATCCACGTCAGACTCGGAACTGACCAACGAGCGACGTCGGGACTTGATACGGAAACGAGATACGCGGAGTGTACCACAGCCCTTCCGCTCTAAACGAAGATCCGTAGCGCGGTGGGAAGCTTGACAATACTTTTTGGATTGAATTTGGATTTTTCTCTTCTCGCGCCGTGCTCGTGCGCACATTTCGCGACACGCGGAAACAACCGACTTACTTCATCGGGCCAACACGGGGGATTTCAGTTCTGTCTGTGTCCCCACACTCAATTTTCCAAAAATCCTTGACACACCCCATCTTGCTGTTTTTTTGGGCCTTCATTCTGCACTTTTAGCACTCCGAACGAAAGACAGCACAGGGCGTGAGGTTAGCACGTCACACGCGCTCGCACTCACACCCATGTTGGTCATAGATTCCACTAATACGGATAAGGAGTATCCAGAGGACTATCCCAGTTCGTTGGCACTAAGTGCGCCACAGGTGGTCTTGGGGCTTGAACCCACAACCTCCTGAATGCCACTTGCGTGAGGATTGTATGCTCTCAGATTACCATACAACACAAGGCTAATAGATTATCCAGGGTCAATATATACAGTCCATGATTCACGATTGAAGGTGGGCTATCCTCCTCGTACGTACCTTAGAGTTGAGGCTGGCATAGCAGTCCTTAGTACGGATGTCGGGGGTGGCAGGAGATACTGCACCTTACCGCAGAGCCGGAACGGGCTCCAGGGATATACGAGGGAACGGAGGATCCACAACTCTCTACCATCAACACCATAAAACACTTTAGTAAGGACAAAATAAGGATAAGAAACTCAGTCCATAACTCATTACCTAGGGTTGGCTATCCTCCTAGTACGTAGCATAGGGTTGAGGCTGGCATAGCAGTTCCTTAGTACGGGATGTCGGGGGTGTGTGGCCGGAACGGGCTCTAGGGACATGAGAGGGAATGGAGGATACCCAACTCTCTATCATCACCACACAACTAAGCTAGATGGGAGTCACTGTGCACCCTCATGAAGACCTGTAGTAGCATGTTCATACCTAGCTCCTGAAGTCCCTGTGCAATCAGGCTTGCCCGGCATCTGCTTCAACAGTTGCTGAGAAGGGGGTAGGAGTCTCTGCTTAGCCCCGACACCTGCAACCGCTGTCTGGTCAGGTCACCCTGCCAAGATGGCAATGGGTGGTGGTCCTGGGTGGTTAACACTAGGGTAGGACAGGGGGGGTGGGGATAGGCCAGGGCAAAAGGATGAGAGGAAGGGTGGGTGGGGTCTTCAGAGGGGTTCATCTGGACAACCGAGTGGCCGAGTATTGTGGGTGACTGCCATCCGTCTAGTATCCCACCTCTACAACAACCTGGGGTAGAAATGAGATCCTGGTGGGACTATCCCTCGACACTTTTTTTGGGGATTTTGGGG